ACGTGTATGCTGGGTCGCGAAACTTCTGCGTCACTGACAATGTAAAAGTATCATCAGCATTTGGGTTAGAAGATTAACGATGTCTAAATTAATGATGCACCTGTGTTAGAAGACCAACGTTGTCTAGATTAACGACAGCTAAAAGCAAAAAAAATTGTGCTTGTTAGAGAAGAAACAGATGAAAAGGGATTCTTTAAAAATAACAAAGCAGAAACTTATCTACCGGCTGCGTGTGGTTAGTAGTCCTTATCGAAAGTGCTGAGAGAAACTAGTTTTTGAAATGAGCATGGCAAGAGCAACACACGGATTTGCTGTTATTTTTAGAATGTACAAGAATATATAAGGACTTTTTTTTCTAATAAACTTCGGAGCTTGACTGTTAACCATATTGGTGTGTGTCTTGTCTCACAACCTCGTCCTGCAAAAAGGGTTTCCTGCTACAATATTGTGTATCTCTAGATGGTCTTGTGTTTTAAAAAATAAGATAGGTCAGTTTTGTAATACAAGATGCTCATGTTGTGGAACCTCATTAGCTCGTACTAACACAGGGACAACTTGTTGTGTCCTTGCTCATTAGCTCGTGCTAACACAGGGACAACTTGTTGTGTACTTGCTCATTAGCTCGTACTAACGCAGGGACAACTTGTTGTGTACTTGCTCATTAGCTTGTACTAATGCAGGGACAGGATTTCTCCACTTTGCCAATGGCAGTAAAATTAAACTGGGCCTCTGCTTGTGCCTGTGGGAAGGATGACTGGGAAAGGGCTCAGGGTGTAATTAATACCTCCTCTTCTTCCCAAAATGCAGTGGAGCAGGAAAGGCGTAGCTCATGATTCTGCCTCTATGACACCAACGAGCAGAGCTTCATCTTCTAGAAATCTTCTTAGTGCAGTCAGCAAGTACCAACTGTGGCATTCCAGTCTGTGCGAGCAAACGATTACAGGGCAGAGCCACACCTGGATTTGTGCCTGCACGTGGAGTAAGCAGCTGCCCACGTTCCCCAATTCCCTCGGGCAAACTGCTGTGGTGGAGATGGCCACAAGGCCCTAGTTACTTGCCGGAACGCAGTGGCTCCATGAGTCTGGGCCAGGCTGGAGGCAGCTGTGACACTGATGATGGTGCTGCAATCTCATCTTTTGTGCCATGAAGAACATGCTTTGTGTGTGGGATTTACTTCTAGGGAAGAGAGGCCAGCTTCCTAGTAATTAAGTAGGTCCATCCCAAATGTTATTTCCATGCTCTGGTCTACTGTGCATCTTATACAGCAGCTAATGCTCTGACCCATTTTTCGCCATAAGCCTACAGTTTTGGGCCCCATTGCACAGCATGTGGACTGTTGACTCCTGAAGTGGCAGATTTTGGGCTGGCACTCTCTCGTGTATTTTGCTGTGCAAATCCTATGCAAAAATAGAGGACACTGTATCCTTTCTATTTGAGATGTTAGTCATACAGAAACCATAGACGGATGCAAGCAAGATCTTGATTTTATGCCCACCTTCCAATTAAATTGAACAAGTGTAGAGAAAAATTCTTTTTCTGAGCCATCATTTGTTCAGGATAGACCATGCTGGACATTCCTGAGCCACAGTATGAACTTCCTTTGCCTCTGAGATGGCTCAGCTAAGATCATAATCAAATGTGTAATAAATTAAAAGAATAATCACAAGTGGCAGAATGTACTTTATCCATTTATCTTGAAACTATTAGTTTAGTTTTAATTATAAATAGTCTCAGTTAAAACTGAATGCCAGCTGTCATTAAAAACTGCTCTGACCAGCCACGTGACTAACTCAGCAAGGGTGGCTTCATACTAGAGATGTAAGACTTCCATGTTGAATATATTAGAAACACTGTCAAAGAATTTTAAAGGATACCTTCTCTCATTTGAGGTGAAAGTTGTACTGTTTACGCTATCTATTCTTCACAATAGACTACTGTATACACAATCATGTATGGTGAAGCTGTTCAGTCTTGGTTGTATGAGTTCTTCCTACAGAAATACACAAATAAATTTCTCCTGAGAGGATGAGGCTATCTATTTTTTATTTCTATTACTGTTTGTTTTGGGAGAGTTATTTGCTTCACAGTTAGTTAATTTAAAAGGATTTAATTTTAGCATTAAAAAGGTTGTTTAAATCTTCTTTGTGAACAATTTATTACATCAACTATTATTTTAAAGTTTTCAGATTGACCACCGGATTTTTATAACTGATTGGATTATTAAAAATTAGTGCAGTATAACAAATACTGGAAAAGTACTGTTGTCCATTGTGCAAGGCATTTTTATATTTTTCAGCTGTCAGATCTTGGAAAAAACTTTCAGGAAGTCTGGAAAGAGAATAATTTTTTAACCATTTTAATTTCCATTTGGAACAACTTTTAATTTTTCTCTTTAAGGAAGCTGAAACAGTACAGTGCTTTACGTTTTTGTTCTTTCTGTTGTGCACAGGCCTCAGCCCTGATGTCAGCAAGGTTAGAATTTGCTTAGGTTCAATGCCGCTACAAAGCCAGAAGAGGGAGCACAGACATTGTTTCTTCTTGGTAATGCTGTAGAGACAACTGATTATTTCACAAATGAAAATCACTAAATCTATTTTTAGAGAAAGTGTTGTAGAATACTTTTTTGCTTCTTTTTTTAAAGATTCTTTAAAATAAGATTTAATTAAGGGAAAATTAAGAATGGATATTTTGATCAATTCTTATCAAGCAAAAAATCTGTTCATAACTTTGTAAATGCGTGGTATAGCATTTTAACATATTTGACACCTTTTACAGAGTATTTTTACATTTTATTCTGCAGCTACTGAGGAGGGTGAGGCTTATCAGAATCCAAATATAATAGTAAAGCTTGATCCACTTCAGTCTAATATTAGAAAGTGTCTTTAAGCATATTTGTATTCTATCTTCAGATCATATATCTACTCAGTAGTTTTCAGATGTATTTGTATTAAAAACGTTATTTTAAGGACACAAAGGATACATAAATTCTCTCCCAACATTTTAACAGTAATCATTAGAACTTCTTATATCTCACTTTAATTTCTTATATTTCTCAGCTGTTAAAATTGCTCATACCACTTAGATTTTACTGACTTTGTAGAAAAAGTCAATGGAAGTGCCTTGTTGCACATTCTACTGATAATAATTTCTACAAGTTTATACCTTAGCATAGTTCTGTTGCAGCCAATGGAACTGCAGCCTACAAGAGTCTTTAAATTTACTGTATTCAGCCCTAGGATAGCCCTACTGCCATAGTGGTGGAACTTGGTTGAAAATTCCCAAATTTTACAATTAAACAAGTACCAAAAAAGAAGAAACATGGGGGGAAAAAAAAAAAAAGAAAACTAAACAAAAACAAAGCCCATAGAACTCCACAGTACGAGAAAGGATTTGTAAACGCTTAGTAAGAATTGTAAGAGTGAAGGTATGCTTTATAACCAAAGTTTGTGTTTGCTACTATGTAGATGAAGAATAACTTATTAAATCTCTGTAAGATGGAGGGTTTTCTTGTGGGCATTTTGAAACTCCTGTGCTCACAATACAGTCTTCGGTAGAAGACCCCCACCAGTAGCAATCCCCATTGGAGAGGTGTGGGATACTCTGCTGAACTCCCAGGAAGTAATTCTCCTGTAATTTGTCAATGGAGAGAAAACATACCAGAGAGAAAGCCACAAACCCTACCAAACTCAAAATGTAACAGAACATGGCAGTGCATATTGTGGCAGTCAGCACAGAAGTCACTGTCATCAAAGACAACATCCCAGAAGAACAGTGGTTTGAAAGAGACCAAGCCCTGGTTCTTCCCTCTTTGTACAGCATCAGCCAATGGCATAGACTAAGGACATCAAATCGAGCAGTCTGTGGTTACTTGTAGACAAAGATCCTATTCTACAGGTCATGTTTCTCTATAGATTGTCAGTGGCCCAGCTTCAGGCAGCACAGAGTCTCATAGGGATGTCCATGACTAACAGTCCAGCTTCTTACATATAAAGGACTGTACTGAATGCAACTGTATCTTGCTGGCAGCCACTCACCAGCAGTGCTCCTGAGGGCCCAGTTCTAGGGCCAGTTATGTTTAATAATTTTATTGATGGTTTGGATGCAGGAGTTGAAAGCATCCCTAGTAAATTTACTGGTGATATGAAACTGGGAGGTGATGTTGACTTTCAAGGAACAAGAAGCTGTTCAGAGAATCTAGATAGATTGGAGCATTTGGCAATCATCAGTGGGATGAAATTTAAGAACAACAAATGCTGAATTCTGCACCTGGGATGGAGTAATGCTGGACATAAGTATAAACTGGGATAGATGTGGCTGGAGAGCAGCCCTGCAGAAAGGGATCTGGAGGTGCTGGTCGACAGCAGGCTCAATATGAGTCAACAGCGTGCCCTGGCAGCCAAGAGGGAAAACATCATCCTGGGGTGCATCAAACACAGCATAACCAGGCAGTTGGAAGAGGCTATTACCCTGCTGTATTCAGCGTTGGTGCGGCCTCACCTTGAGTACTCTGTGCAGCTCTGGGCCCCACAATTTAAAAAAGATGTTGAGGTGCTTAAATGAGTCCAGAAGAAGGCATGAAAGCTGGTGAAGGGACTGGAAAGGATGTCTTGTGAGGAGCTGCTCAGGACTCTGAGTTTGACTAGATTGGAGAAAAGGAGGCTGAGGGGCGAACTCATTGCTCTCTGTAGACTTGCTCTTGAAGCATCAAGCGCTGATGCTTTGCTTTGAAGCACCGTCCATGCCAAGGGACTGAGGGGAGGGAGGAGGAGACAAAAAAGCCAGGTTAAATGGTGCCCAGAAACCCCTGTAGAATGCCTGTAGCAGCTGCCGAGATAAAGCATGTGTGTGCTCCCTTCCCCTCTGCTCAGCGCTGCTGAGGCCATGCCTGCAGTGCTGTGCCCAGGCCTGGCCTCCCTGGACGAGAGAGACACGGGCACCCTGGGGAAAGCCCCTCAGTGCCCCACACCCCCAGCACCCCCAGCACGACCGATGAGGTCACAATGCCCCGCTCTGTGTTGACCCGGTGCTGGCCTGGCAACGGCCCCAGTACCTGCCAGGACGGTGCTCTGCCAGCACAGAGTCGTAGTGGGGTCTCGCCCAGCAGCACTGCAGAGCATCAGGACCCCTCGGAAGACTCTCTCGGGCTGTCAGAGCACGGCCCTGAGCCCCACCAGAGTGTGCAAAGCGAGGCCTCTCGTGTCCTCAGCGGGATGGGCCAGCTGAACTGCTGCCGTGGCTCCAGGTGAGCTCTCCCCGCGATTTGGGGACACGCCGGTGTTATAAACTGACTTCTTAAAATTGACTGAGTCAGAGTTCCCAATTTCTTTATTATTTAGCAAGCGGCAACAAGCAAAACAGCGCTGGGCGGCCGGGCAGTCTCCTGCTCCAACAACGGACCGCACCCTCCAGGGCACTCTGTTTCAACCTTATACTACAAAGTGTTACATAGTCATTATACACATATACATATCAATTACTTGAACCCGCCTACTCCCGCTTCGTATGGTAATTAGCTTATCAGTCCTTTACGCTTGCGCAGAAGTTGTTAAATCTACGGTCAGGGGTCTTCAAATCGTGGGGGGTGGTCTTCTGGGAGGAAGGCCGTAGGTCCTCCTCACAGTGTACGTTTCACCTTTTGCTTGGAACGTGATGATCCTCTGAGTTTGCAGAGTTCTTATCAGTCTAGGCCCAGTAATCTCTTTGCATAATGAGATTCACGGTCGTGAACATCCTCCAGTCTTATTCAATTATGCGCCTGCAATTCTCCACATCTTCTGACATACAGATGCTTCCTCTCTTGTTGTTCCCCCCTCCCCTTTCCTGTCATCTTTTTTTTTATTTTACACTATCATGTTAGTGCAATTAAGCATTTGCTGTTAGTATTACACAATATGCAATAGTTCATATTACAGTTCACTGAATTTGATGAACAAACAGTTTACCACCTATCACAGCCGGCACAGCCGGACCCCGCAGCAGCCACCTTGCTCATGCCCAATGCCGTCTACCCTGCAGGGTCCACCCTTACCCCGAGCAGCACTGCGAGCCTGTCCCAGGGTCACCCGAGCTGCTGCTCCGCCAGCGCGTGCGGGTGACCCAGGGCCGCACGAAGAGGAAGAGGGACCTCCTCCTCTCCAGGGACACCCTGGTCATCGCCAAGTCCAAGTAAGACTCGCAGAGCCCCGCTGCCTTTCCTCCCAAGCCCCGGCCCCAGCACCAGGGCAGGGACAGCCAAGGAGCAGCCCCAGGCCCCCGGCACCCTGGTGCTGGAGGCACCCATGGCCCTGCCCGTGGCAGGTGGATGGTAGAGAGGAGCCACTGGGCTCGGCCAACTCCAGGTCACTCCCTGCCACTCCTCTCCGCAGACGTGGCAGCGCCCCATGCCCGCAGCACTGCCTGGCCCTGGGCCAGCTGCAGGTGCTGAGCAGCAAGATCGGGGAGGCCGGTGATGGCCCCAAGGAGCAGGAAGACAAGAGCACCAACTCCCTTGTCCTCGTCTGGCCCTCCGGCTCGTGCGTCGTGACCTTCCAGTGAGTCTCAGTGCCACATCCCACAGCAGGACTGGGCAGCGCCTCTGTCCTGCCCCACGGGGCTTCGTCCTGCCTCTGTGGCCGTCCCCAGGGGGCAGGGCTGTGCCAGCGCCCGCCTCTGACCCCAGGCTGGGGAGCAGCGGGCACTCAGGCTGCTTTTCCTCTCTTTCTGCAGCTCCCGGGCGGAGAAGGAGCTCTGGGTCAGCGCACTCCAAGGGTAAGCCCAGCCTGGCGGTTCAGCCTGGAGGCCCATGCTCACCTCATGGGGGATGCTCCAGGCTGGGGACAGGTGCCCCCACAGCTGCAGGCAGCTCTTGAGCAGGCAGAGCTGGCAGAGCTGCTTTGCCCAGCTGTGTCCAGCCAACACCTGCCCAGCCCCAGCCCCACCTGGGGCTGCCACTGCTCTCCACTCCACTACCAGGCAGTACCCGGCTGCTTCGAGGCAGCTCGGAAGTGCTCTCTGGGCTGGAAGGAGAGGGAAAAGGCAGCTTGGGTCTCACACAGCTCTTTCTCTGCCCCTTCCCCATACACAGGCCACCAGAAGGAGTGGAGGGAGCCCGGGTCACCCAGCTGCCCTCCATCACGGCCCCGATGAAGGAGCTCAGCCGCCGCAAGGCAGTGAGTGTCCCTCCTGTCTGTGCTCTGCCCCCAGATGCTGCTCCAGCCCAGCATCGGGTGCATCCCTTCTCACCTTCTGCTCTTTTTCCCTTGCCCAGGTGACAACACTACGTGCCAGCAGCCTGGAGAGGCTGGTCGAGGGCCCGGCAAAGGTCAGGTTCATTCAGGGGGCGATCTTAGCCATCCCCACCTGTCTCTCACATGTGGCCAGGGGCCGCTGCAGCTCACCAGGGGCCCTTGCTGCTGCGAGGCTGCTCACTGAGCGCGGTGTCTTTCTTGCAGGCGGGTGCAGAGCAGCAGCCACCACCCGTCGTTGCTGGCAGCAAAGGTGGACACGGCCCCTCGGCTGGTGAGTTTGGAGAAGAAGGGGGCAGGATGGCCTTTCTCTCCTCCTCTGGCAGGCGGGCACTCGTGCTGCAGTGGGGCTGCTGCCCTCCCCTCAGGGCACCTCCATCCCCATCGCTCCGTGCAGGAGATAGCTGAGCCCCCAGGAGCCCTCCTTCCCAAACAATGCCTCTCCCTTGCACTCGGGGTGGGGGGGGGGGGGGAAACACAGCGCTGAGAGGGTCCAGGGGTGCTGGCCTGGTTGTTCTCATGCAGGGATTTTGCCTCCCATTCCCTTGACAGCAGGTGGGGCCGGCAGCAGGAGGAGGGGGCTGTCCTGGCCCTTCTCACGGCGAGGGACCTTGGCCGCTGCAGAGGCGCCCGGGCTGTCGGGCTCTGCCGGCAGCGGGGCTCTCTTTGGCCGGCCCCTGGCAGCTCTCTGCAGCCAGGACGGCACGCTGCCCCAGCCCATCCAGGTAAGCGAGCCTGGCCAGGGGTTCCCCACCCTGTTGGCTCCTTCGGAGAGGCAGCATCCCAAGCAGAGGGACCCTGTCTGGAACGCTGGGACAAAGCCGGCTCCTCCCCACGTCCCCAACCTGCAGCCACCCCTCCATCCCGCCCCGCCCCAGGGAGAGAGGCAGAGCCATCTACACTGGCTCCTGGCCCTGAGGAAGGTTCACCTGCCCCAGGGCCTCTCTCCAGCCAAGCAACTCTCCTCCTCTGTCCCCCGCAGGACCTGCTGGCTCTCCTGCACCTGCACGGGCCAGCCACGGAGGGGATCTTCCAGCTGGCAGCCAGCGAGTGCGCCATGCAGGAGCTCTGTAAGGCCCTCGACAGTGGAGCGCAGGTCCCCCTTGAAAGCCAGCCTGCGTGCCTGCTGGCCGTCATCTTGAAGGTAAACCCTGCTGACCTGCAGCCCGGCAGCTCCCAGCTCCATCGGTGCTGGAGGGCACCTGCGAGAACAGGAGCCAAAACCCGGCCGCCTGCTCATCAGCCAGAGCGCCAGGGATGCTGCCTGTGCTCCTGGCAGTGGTGGGCAGGTCCTCACCCGCATCCCTTGGCATTGCAGAACTTCCTCCGCAAGATCCCCTCCAAGCTCCTCGAGGTAGAGCGCTACGAGGAGTGGATGGGCGCCCTGCAGAAGACCAGCAGGCAGGAGAAGCTGGCAGGACTGAAAGAGTAAGCATGGCGAGCAGCCTGCCTGCTCCGCAGGGACTGGCAGAGGCCTACACTTGTCTACAGTGTGACAGCCTCCTTGGAAACGCCCTTTTTTTCTGCCAGCCACCTCTTGCTGCCGTGGGGTGGGGTTTTGGGGGCAAGTGGCACAGCAGAGCACGTCTCTCCTTGGAGCGCTGCCTGCAGGCATTGCGGGTTGCTCCACGAAGGGTGTCTTGCCAGAAGGGGAGGCAGGGAGGAGGGAGGTGGCCGGCCCTCTCTCAGCAAAGGCAGCCCCTCTGCCGGACAGCAGGCGTGGCCAGGGCGCCTTCCCTCGGGCGGGCTTGGGTGAGATCAGGCCGAGAGGCCTGTGCTGACAACACTGACTGTGCTAACGTTGTCGTCCTGTTCCCTCAGGGTGGCCAGCAAGTTGCCCAAGGCCAACCTGGTCCTGCTCCAGCAGTTGCTGTCCCTGCTGCAAAACATCAGCAGCAACGCGGCCACCAGCAAGATGACTGCCCACAACCTGGCCATCTGCATGGGGCCAAACCTCCTGAGCCCAGCTGAGGAGCACACCCTTCCCTTGGATGTCCTGGCGCAGGCGACGGAGAAGGTACGCTCTGTTTACCAGCCGACTACAACCCTCTGGGCCCGCCCGAGCTTTGCTGTTCAGAGGTACCTGGCTGCCTCCTCTCTTCAGCAAACACTTGTCGGGGTTCTGCCGGCAAGAGCAGCCCCACAGCTGCGCAGAAGCCAGGCTCAGCAGTGGGAAAGGCTGTCGCACCTAGGTGGACACCAGTGTTTTGCTGTGTGCAGGTGACGCAGCTGGTGGAGTTCCTCATCGAGCACCACGAGGAACTCTTCGCGGAGGAGGTGGCTGGGCTTGCCGGCACATCGGATGAGGAGTCACCGGCACCGGAGCTGGGAGCAGCGGCAGCAGAGGTATGTCAGGGCCACAAACAGCGTGACAACCAAAGCCTCCCCCCTCAGAAGGGGGACCGCTGCCGCCACAGGGACAAGCAAGATTATCCACCAACCTGCAGCTCTGCAAGAGCACAGAGTAACCTTGCACTATGGCAGTGATGCCAGCAGAACTGGCTCAGCTGGGCTGCGCAAACCCATCCGAGGGATCTGCCTTTCAGAGCTCAGGTAGCAACTGAGCAGGTAGGTCCTTGCCACCTGTGACCTTCCTCCTTTCCACTGCAGGTGCCTCCAGTCACCCCAGAAAGCCAACACCTGAAGAGCTCGTCTGGCGAGAGAAGGTAACATGGGCTAGCCTTGGTGAAGAGTAGAATGGTTTCATGTTTATCATGGCTTTACCTGTCTAACCATCCTATTGCATGGAAAGGTTGCCAGGCTCTTCTCAAGGGAATAGAAAGAGAAAAGGCAGCTGTGAAGAGGGGAGCGATGGGCAGGAAGAGGAGGAAGCTGGAGCCGAAGCTCTCAGGGACGGGCAACTGAGGGAATCTGAGCAGGTAAGATGAACGAGGAGCCCAGGGGCGTAGCAGACCCTCTTGTCCATCTTCCAAAGGCTCTGAACACTGCTCTGAATACAGGAGGACTTCCCGAGGTGCTCAGAGATGGCCCCAGACAGGAAGCATGCACCTGCCCTTGGGAGAACGTGTAGGTCTGGGGAAACATTCCGCTCCAGCATTGGCAGCGTTCCTTTTGCACTTGCTGAAGCTTGTTTGTGCAAGGCTGAGCAGACACCCCGGCAAGGTCACAAGACTCACCATTTTGAGCTCTTTGACCCTCTCCCTACAGAAAAGTCCCTCTTCTCTGTTCATGCCAGCTGGCAATCCTAACACTGGCTGGTGCTGCCTGAATCCTAAAGACACAGTAAGGGGTTGTTCCAAAGAGCTATAGACAGAGAGATACTGGCACTTCTGAAAAACCAACATTTCACTCGAGGAAACTGGGGGAAGAAACAAAGAACCCAAACAATAAAAAATCAACACAGAGCATGGTTTGCCTGCCAACCTGCCATTTTAGCATGGGACGGTGAGGGCTGCTGCTGCTGCTCAGGTTTTGGGAAAGGACCCCATCCCAGCTCCCCAGGGGCTCCCTGCTGAGCCCTACTGCCTGGCAAGGGGGCACTGTACACCTCTGTCAACCTGCCGTACCCTGAGGGCATTGCAGGCATTGAGAAGGGGCCAAAGCAACGCCAGAGTCACTGCCAGTAAGGGTTCTCTCTCCGGAGCCAGGAACGACCCTTTTTTTGTCGGACTCCCCAAAGAACAGGCAACAAAGTCACACCTGTTCCTGCCCTCATGGTTTCACCAGCGCTTTCTGACTCTGCCCTTGTAGGTGCCCATCTGTTTTTGCAGCTTGGATTCCCCAATGAGTTCTGATGCCACAGCTTCCACGGACACGACACGGGCACAGCACCACCTCAGCGGAGGCGAGGAGAGAGGCGCCGTGCCCCTCTGCTCTGGCCAGCAGATTGAAGTCACGCACTGCTGAGCCGCAGCGGCCCCGCACCACCCTCAGAGCCATCCCGGCCCTCGCAGGAGGCCTTGCTGGCTCACTGCCTGTAATAAAACCTATATGATATGTTATCCAAATCTCAAGTTATGGCTAAATATGTTATTCAGTAAATTAAATATAAAAATAAATTGTGTTAATATCAGATTGTATTGTAACTGAACTTTGTTGTGGTCAGACAGTGTTATGGTTCTAAATGTTTTTGCACTTTGCATGTATCCTAAGGTTTAAAAAGAGATAAGGCATTATGTATAGTATTTTATGGTTAAAATCAGTTGTTAAAAGGGAGTTAAAATGGCCGCCGTCTTCAGGCCAAATGTTGTTATGTCCAGACACGTCTGGCCTATGGATACCCCCACCCCTGTGCTGAGCCATCCCCCTCCTCCCCCACGGTGAAAGCCGGCGAACCTTCCCTGGCTACAGAAAGCCCGCGAAAGAAAAGCCCTCGAAAAGTTGTTGACGACTTGCAAACCCCTCGGGAAGCACCCCCACCCTCGTGAATATTCATGAGGGCTGCGCTTTAAAAGGACTCCGTTTCGGGATGTAAGGTGTGTGTCTTGGTGGAGCAGAGACTCCCCGGCACACCCAGCACGGTATTGCTCACTTTCGCTTACTAATAAATTTTACTGGCCACTAAAACAAATTCGAAGGTGGTGATTTCACTTTAAATTGTGATTAATCCATAACACTGCCCAGCTCCGTCAGCCACTGCCCACCAGCCGGCATGGGAACTTCAGATTACAGGGAGCATTTTACGCGCATGTCATCTGGGAGGGACAGGAGGGACATGCTGGCCAGACTGCTCCAGACTAGAAAACCTGCCAGGTTTCACTTACAACTCCTTGCTCTTGGCAGAGAGATGCTGAACGCATGTCCATGGTGTCAGAGTCCACGGATTAGAAGGAAATGACACAAAGACATTGATGAATGCAGATGAAGAATGGCAGCTTGTCACACAACTTCCTTGACACTTGTGAGTGTGTGTCAAGAAGGTGGGTCGTGCCAGCAGAGCTGCATTGCTTTATGTGTACAGGAGCGAAGCACTGCACCTTTCAAAAATGCAACTAAACTCCAGAAAAGTATTGACCTGCTGTTGGCATGCAGCTGCATACCTCATAAACCTGTGAAGGTCAAGAAGGAAAGAGAAAATAATTTCTAAAAAACATGCAGACGGGCAGCATCATTGAATTACTCCATCGCATTTTTATTTAGAGCTGCCCATTCTCGGCAGACAGATGCTGAACTAACTTGCTGAGTCCAAGCAGGGAGCACCCACTGCAGCTCTTTGGTCGGTGCAAGTACTTGTATGCAGCACACAGCAGAATGCCCTTTCTTACCCTTCCGGCTCAAACATGACTAGCTGGCAGTTTCCAAGAGCTTAAGAACTCCAGATCAGCTACAGAAAACATCCTTTTCTTGCACCTGCTCCTACAGATCAGCTCTCTCTGGACTGAGGCAAACACACCCCTTTCTGTCCATCTGTCTGTCCATCTGTCTGCCAGAACTGGAGTTTTGAAACCCACTTTTCCCAAAGCTCCAAGTGCTTAAACAGCCTCCACTGTTTTGATACTTCAGCCCTGTATGATGTCTAACAGGGTCGAGCTCCTTTCAGCAGCGAAAACACAAGTGCCAGCCACAACTGGGGAAAGAAATGGCACGGCTGCTCTGCAGGTCTTGCAATGATTGTGCAGGGGTCAGCAGAGCACACAGATTCAGGTACAACTCTCCCAGCTGACATCTGAAGTGGTCCAGAGGCAATGCCATCTTCTCTTCATGGCCAAACCCCCACTTGTTACCCACAGCAATTGCTGCCCTAAGGAATTCAAGTCCTAACTGCTTGGAGCTCTGCACTATGGCAAATCTGGTGGGTTTTAAAGAAAAAAATCCCTACATCATTTTTGGGGAAAAAAAATCCCTATGCACTCAATCACATGTCAGATGTCAAGATCTTAGCGTGGTCTTTCTTACCATTTCCCTGTTGTTCATTTACCTGACTCTGTGGCTGAGAACTGCCGATCAACATTTTGTCTGGAGTTACTAACCACAATGTGTGCTCCAGATGATGCTGGAAAAGGTAGAAAGAACAGATAAGTTACAAAGGGATAACCACTTCATATCTACCTCATCTAAAAAGTAGCTATGAATTAAAAAATATTGTCTATCAGTTGCAGTGATGGGGAAGATGTCTCCTCTTCCTCAGGAAAAACAAAGAAGTACAAGATGCTGAGAACAAAGGGTTATATGAAAATTAATGTGCTCATGCCCTTGCTCCACCAAGAGATGGCAAGACAGGTGCAACAAGGGAATTGAAACATGTTCCCTCATCCCTATGGATGTTTTCTACGTATTGGAGCAAACTGGAATGCACGATCTAGGCCACCCAAGATGACGATCATGCCCTCTCAGTGGTCATTATGCTGGGATGACTGAATTATGCTGAAAACTATATGCCTATGTATGCACTAATATTTATGAAATGTGAAATTCTGATTTTAGTTCTAAAAATATGTACATACTTAGTAATCATGACTCATTGTTCTTTCTTCTGGATTGAAATCTCTATTTGGTCCCCACATGCTGAGAGAGGAGAGATATCTGGGAAAGGGATGCTTGCATTATCAAAACCAGTATCTACAAAGATCCTAGGTACTGCTTAAAAAACTCATTCATCCTTCTTATCCCTGACCCATCCATTCCAATGACTCAGGAGACCTTCTTGACATTGTAATAGGTTGTGCCTCCTGATAGAGGTCTCATGCAGAGAGGAGCACATGTGCTCTGCTGAGACAGGACTGTTTCCAGTTCTGTACTGTGTTGCACTTTAGCCCTTTGCTAGGCAGTTCCCTACACTAGAATTTCACCATCTGCATCTCGTGATCATGCAGGACTCATACTCTGCACAGGCGTACAGTGACCCTGGTTATATTTTTCACCAGAAAAAGCAGCAGAAAAAAAAAAAAAGCAGTTGACTGTTGGTAAGAGAATTTTAACAAAAGAGGAATTAAGTAGGTGCATCTTACACGAACACAAACCCGAAAGATCCTAGCCTTCTCATCTATCTCCCACCTGGGCTGAATAGCCACCACTGCCATCTACAACCCCAAACTCACCCTACTAGCTTTCTACCTCTACACCCTAATAGCCACCACTGTATCCCTCAGCCTAAACACAGCTAAAACCCTAAAACTATCAACAATAATAATCTCATGGACAAAAGCCCTCATACTAACCTTGCTCTTCCTAGCAGGACTGGCCCCAGTAACAGGCTTCCGGCCAAAATGACATCGTCCAAGAAAGCACTAAACAAGAAATAACCCCAACAGCCACAATCATTGCCCTACTCTCACTACTAGGACTATTCTTCTACCTCCACCTTGCATATTACACAACAATCACCCTCCCACCAAACTCCACAAACCATAAAAAAGAGTGACACACTAATAACCCAACAAATGCCCCAGTTGCCACCCTCACCTCCCTATCGATCTCACTCTTACCACCCTCCCCCATAACTCTGACCACTGCTTAGAAACTTAGGATAACCTAAATTGAAGACCTTCAAAGCCTTAAACAAGAGTTAAAACCTCTTAGCTTCTGCTAAGACCTGCAGGACACTAACCTGCATCTTCGGAATCCAACGCAGACACTTTAAGCCAGGGCCTTACCTAGACAGATAGGCCTTGGTCCCACAAAAATCTGGTTAACAGCTAGATGCCCTAACCTCACAGGCTTCCATCTACCAGAATCTGGCACACTTTTAATGCACATCAGTGAGCTTGCAAATCAACATGAATTTCACCACAGAGCCGATAAGAAGAGGAATCAACTAAATTTGTCTGATCCCATAAAACTAATGTAGGCTGCAGGTGTTAGCTGGACCAGTAAAAACCTCAAGATTACTCTGTTAAATACATGAAGTCTGATTGAGAGAAAACAACAATCAGACTAAAAAAATCTTCTAAATACATAACAGTCAAACCCATTAAATTAATAAAGTAACAATAAAGATGAGAAAATCTGAGTAAAAGACTATGGTTTTCACAGAACTAAAAAAAATCTCTTTGTAAATCTTTATGTACAAAATAGCCATGGAAAACAACATGTTCTTATCAAAATAATAAAAATATTTTCTAAAATTCAGAGAGCAAATTATTTTTCATTTCAAGGGGAAAAATATAATATAATATAATATAATATAATATAATATAATATAATATAATATAATATAATATAATATAATATAATATAATATAATATAATATAATATAATATAATATAATATAATATAATATAATATAATATAATATAATATAATATAATATAATATAATATAATATAATATAATATAATATAATATAATATAATATAATATAATATAATATAATATAATATAATATAATATAATATAATATAATATAATATAATATAATATAATATAATATAATATAATATAATATAATATAATATAATATAATATAATATAATATAATATAATATAATATAATATAATATAATATAATATAATATAATATAATATAATATAATATAATATAATATAATATAATATAATATAATATAATATAATATAATATAATATAATATAATATAATATAATATAATATAATATAATATAATATAATATAATATAATATAATATAATATAATATAATATAATATAATATAATATAATATAATATAATATAATATAATATA